TGGCAAGAAATATAGCAAAAGAAAAATAAGAACAGAGGAGAAGGGAGTGAGGGAATGAGACTGGTGTAAAAGCGGGTGGGAGTGAAGTGAAAAGTGAAAAGAAGCGAAGCAAAACAAAGCAACACCAACCACAGGGTTAGAAAGGGGGAAAAGAATGACTCAGATTTTATTTTTTACCGAGAGTAATCCCATAAGGAACTTTTAGAGGACCAACTTTTAGATCAAAACTACTGATATCTGCTGAAATTACACTATCAGAAGAATTATGTGGGCCTTGCCTAAATTGGTACTGATAGCTTTAATAAATAAAAGGCTGGCAGACAAGACTGTCTCTGTAAAGCCAGTAAGAGCCATATCGGAATCTCATTCCCTCGAGCTGAGCGGTATGCTTCTGGATCTTGATAATGATAGGCCCTGCTATCTACTACTTAGGAGCAATATCCTTTTAAGACTGGCATTCGTCCATCAGCCCCCAGATGGCCTTAATCATTTATGTGCACAGGCCCACAGCAACAGACACCATTGTCTCTGTATGTTACAAGACCATGACTTTTTTTAATGCAAAAACCTCCTTTCATAGCTTCCAACAAGGATGCTTGTCCAATTACATGCACAGAAGCTTACGGCTGTCACTAGAAAGCTGCCTTACTCTGTGCAGTGTGATTTCCCATTACCATCCTTAGGAGTAACAATCTAACATACACCAAGCGGGCCAGTGACTCTAAACTCTGTAAATGCCTTTATGTGGGACTGTAAACACAGAGACCTTTTGGTCACTCTCTCACAAGGGAGAGAAAGTGTGAAGTGTCCTATGTGTCAGGAGAGCATACTCAGTGAAGGCAGAAAGTATTTTTTTTCCTGTCGTTCTTGAGTGTGTGCCTCTTCCATCTCACAGATGTGTGAGCATAGCTGCTGAGGTGGCCGAGGTGGCTCTGAGGTCTGACGTATTCAGGAGTAGATGAAGCCATAGCATCACTGAGAGGTACTCTTGACCAAGCGCGCCTACTTCCCCGCTGATTTCTAAAGGCACACTGAAACACTACCATATAACCTCCTCCCCAGCAGTCTCCTTACTACTCCACCATTTATATGAGCAAACCTACAACTCACAGAGTCCATTTTTACATTGAGAAAGGAGAAACATACTTTTCTGCTTGAAGGTCTTCCTCTGAGAAACCTTCCCAGTCTCCCCGAGATCTTGAGCTTGGTATGGTGGTGTGCAGAACAGTTTTTCTATTGGTCTGCAAGTCTGGTTGATATTAGTGCATTTGGGCTGTCAGATCATTACCAAGACTAATCAAATTCCTATTATTAGGATCTCTTAATCCTGAGGTGTTATTAGTGCTTACATTCAAATTTTATCATTATGTCCTTTTTCATCCTAAAAGACTTAATTAAAAAGAGTCCTCAGCTAATTTCTATGTAGTTCTTTTTTAATCAGGCTTATTATTTTAAGTACTGGCAAAGGAACTGATTTTTCTTTGGGAAAATCTCATTATAGCTTTAGCATGCTGTTCTATGTTGGAAGTCCTTTTCCGATGTCAGCTCCCTTGCCCCTTCACTAATGTGAATCTATAGAATTTGAAAGTTAGTTCTATCCCCTTTCCTTTGTCACCCAGTTTTGTCATCCCAAATTTAGTATGTGGTATTTTCGTAAGAACAATAGACTTATCTGCATGCTAATAAGTAGACTTCTATATCATGCTTCATTTAAAGACTTGAATTAACTACCTTTATTATTTTGTGGGTTTCTTCTCTGTATATATGTATGATTTTGCATGTATATGTACATGATTTTGAAAGAAAGGAATTCCATAGGAGAAGAAGCGAAATCATCATTAAAATGACTATATATTTAAAGAGAATGTCACTGGTTCAGCCTATATGCTGGTTTAAATCTGAAGAAGAATAAACTGTAGCACAACATCTGCTTTTTAGGTCTGGGATTTTCTGATTTTCTCATCCAACCAAATTGGAAGTAGCATTCTGTGATTTTATTTTAATCCTACTGCTGTAGAAAATTGGATGGGCTAATTATTAAGGAAAACACTAGTAGTTCCTTCAAGGACAAAAGAAGGAGTCAAAAAGGATTGGGTACAGAGATTCAGAAACATACAGACACAAGCCTCATATTTAAGCATCAGTGAAAATGCAATAAAAGCAAACACTGGCAGCATTTAAGATAATTAGGATTTTTCAGTCTGTGCAGTAGTGTGTGGATTCTCTTTTCGTAGTGCTTTAACAAAGTAATTTCATTATACAAAAAGATACTTCAGAAAATATATGAAGTGTGAAAGAAACAGTGAGGGAACATTCATATTCTTAGGATGGAGCATCCTGTATCACTGTTCTTCTGATCTAGTAATAAACACAGGTCATCCAAGACAGAGCATTTTGCATAGAATTTCATGTTAACTTTAGGCTTCTACTGAATAAAATCTGTTCATGCTATTGATAAATATTGTGTTCAATACTGATCTTAGGAAGAATAGGGAGCAAGCTGAACAACTTCCTACTGACTTGTTCTTCAGCATGGAGTTTAATTTCCAGTGATCAAGTACATAATTTTAATGGACTGTCTTTTTGCATCAACACCTACGAGAAGTGACTCAGATCAAATATGGACAAACTTTGATAAGTTGAGTGAAATTCATCTCTGTGCAGACAAAGCAGACCACATAGATTACACTTAATTTGATTAATATGCCAATTAATTTGCTTTACATAGAACTCTGATAGAATTTTCTGAACCATGGAATACAAGCAGCATAAAAATGACATAAACCTATAGAAAATATCATATTCCTCCCCATCTGTATCCGTCTTTGTCTCTTTCAGATTGCAAATTCTTTAGAGTGAATCTGTGTCTTGCTGTATGGCCCTGATACGCCCATAGGTGTTATGTGGCAGAGTTCCAACTGCAGTCAGGGGGACCAGGAACAGTTCAATATTTAGTATGTGTAGCACCAGAACAAGAGGGCCCAGACCCTGTGGCATTACATTAACTTTCCCCCTGTTTCACAATGAATTACACAATGATGTTATTTTAAGTCAATGTATATTCCATGTAACTTGAAGAGTTCAGAGCCAGATAGACTCTCTCATTAAAAACAGAAAAACTTGCAGGCCATAGAGACAATATACTTGACAATCTTTCTCCGGTTGAGTGAGGGAAGGTCAGAAGTATGAAGAAGAAAGAGCAACGTCTGTGTGAGAAGGTTAAAGGAGTCATGCATTTAGGCACACTTTCTGTGTGTGTTTAATAGTAAGGTACACCTTCGTAAGAGTGCTCTGGATGGATTGCAGAAGTTATCTGAGGCTTCATCAGGGGGCATGATGATTTTGCTTTGAATAGTGAGGGCTTTTGAAAGATATTTATAGCAGAAGATGAGATGGAGGGCAGTAGAAAATTTAACCTTAAAAGAAGCATCATGGTATTGATGAATATGAAAAAAAGAAATCCTAGACCAACTGCAGATGACAATTTTTCAGACTTAAAATAGATTTTTTTTTTTGCAAGGATATCAGTAACTCTAATATTCTGTCCTTAATAGTATTGATTATAAAGGACTTTTAATTTTCATTGATAATATGATATTTTACCTTTGGCACAATCTCTACAGACTTTAATGATGCTTACTCATTCCAAAATGTTGCTGTCAAATATTCTTGGGCTAAGTCTCTGTTGGAGAATATTGAAATAAAAATTAATAAAAACATGTAGTTTTTAGTACTGTACTCAATATTATAGGATATGTTTTGCTGAGAAATCTAAAGTTATCATTGCGAAGTATGTACATTGCATAGTTCATGAACGGGTTTGGATTAATGGGTTCAACTGTAGCCCAGCACTGTATTAATATATGAATTCTGTGAGTTTGGGTCTACTTTTGCCAAATCAGTTCTTCACTGTTTAACACAATGAGTTTGGTTATCCCAGTCCTATTTATTCTGGTTTAACCCAAAACCTCTTAGTGTGAATAAAACAAACAGTTACACTGTTGTCAGACTTAGATAAACCTATATATATATGTAAGTTGCTGTGTTGATGTTGCACCACATGTACCTCTGTGGGAAGCTTCCACTGCCTTTGTATAATCTCTACTAGCTTCTGTAGCTTCTTATTTTATTACTTTCACTGTGAATTTCTGAAAAGTACTTTGAATAAAACAAACTTTATTTATCTTAAGACATTTTTTAAAGAGCATAAGAATATTCTGCCTGTATTGAAAATAGTTTTCTCGGTTGTTGCTGTCTCTAAGCCGTGAAGGTGCTAGGGGTAGTGCCAGGCACTCAAGAACATCCGTGCCGTCTGCACTAAATGAATTTATGTGCAAAAGAAGTGACCAAAAAAAAAATCTATAGTTTGTGCTTCAAATCTTTTGCTCTACAGAGATGAAAACAAAACTATTATTACACTTGAGCTCTGTCCAGCCCTTACTTCATGTTAGGGTAGAGCCACTCTAACATTTCTGTGAAGTGATGTGTGCCTCTTGCTTTCCTGAAACATGTGGTATTCAGCTGCCTGCTGTTCCTTTCTCTCCATGTTTAGACAGTGATGTAAAGCCAAAAACAGTAAATGTGGTATTCAGCTGCCTGCTGTTCCTTCTCTCCATGTATAGACAGTGATGTAAAGCCAAAAACGGCTCAAAAGTTCATGTTTTAAATGGTTGTTTGTACCCTTAATGTACTCTTCAGGTGGTAATGGATGGGATGCTTTATGGCACAGTCTGTTTCTATGTTGTGTGGCCTGTCCTATGAAACGCTGTCAGAAGCGTTTATTATAATCTGGCTGACCTGTGTAAATTGAAATTCATGGGAAAATGGTGCGCTACTGGTTATATACACATATATGGTCACAAAAATTGCTTTCGAGTGAAATACCTTTAAATCCTGTTGAAGACACTTGAAACAAATCTCACTGTACTCTTGTTGGCTAACTGTGGGACCTGCTCAACTCTGGCACTTTCACAGCAGTTGTGTGATTTCCCTCTTTCTAGGCAAGTAAGAAAATGTAGTGGGACGGAAGCAAGGACGCGAAGCCTCGAGTGGTGGAACGGAGGGGTCTCTGCTTGGCGTTTCCCCTTCCCCGTCACGCTGTCTCACAATGTCAAAGAAGGGTGCCAGCATCCGAGCTAAGGGAGAAAAGCCCGATGCCTTAGCTGCCTTGCAAGCTGCCAATGAAGAGCTCAGGGCAAAACTCACAGACATTCAAATAGAGCTCCAACAAGAAAAGAGTAAGGTGTGCATCCTTTTTTCTTCCCCCGTTGACTAAAATTAAGATAATCTGTTATTTCTGATTACTAACCACTATTCACCTTTCCAAAATGATGGATGAGTTGGAACCACTTCTGATATCCGCTGTATAGAATTTTTTCAAGTAGACGCTCAGAGTTGTTGGCCAACTAGCCTCATCCTGTGGTTAATTTTGCTAGTGTATGCACAGCATTCCTTAAAAAGGGACTTCTTATTGTGTAGCTCTAAGCACATTTGTGATCACTGTGGAGAACAGCTGCAAGTTTAGCGTTAAACTCAACAGCATGTAATACGGAATACTTTCGTTAAGAAGTTATTTCTGTGAGTTACTTTCACATGCTTTCCTTCTCGCTGTATTATTTAACAGCTGTCCCAGCTGACCTCTGTGGTGGCAGAAGCAGCTGATTTGGCAGCAGACACCGAGCGCTAGAAGAAGCAGTTCTACCGGGAAAGAAGGGGGTGCCATCAACCTGCTTGAAAGCGCGTATCACGCGACTGGGAATGGCAGTTTCTGTTCTAGTATCTGTAGTCTAATTTGCTACCGAAATTTAGAATTAACTAGTTTTGTATTGAGAAGTGTAAAACATAGACTCTTTAGGAAAGGCGCTGATAAACTAATTGGAGCTGGTAAATACATTTTGCACTACATTATAGCTGACTTGCAAAGGTCTTTGAAAGTAAATTGTCAGAGTGCCTAGTAACTGGAACTAACATTATTTATGAAACAAAAGAAAAACCCTTTATTTTTTATTTTAAATTTGTTTTCTTTGCATTTAAGAATGAATATGAGACAAAAGATTCCTTATTTCTAAAAATGATGGTGCTTCAGAGATATAGCTTTGTGATGGGCAAACTAAATAGCCAGAATTGCAAATTCTTTGGCAGGCGGTGACTCAGCTGTTTACAGAATACTTGTTCTTATGAGTCAGGAAGAAATTAAGCTGAAAAATTACGAACCTAAATGCCAGGAAAAGATCTGTAAAAATAAACATCTGTCCAAAACAGGTGGCATAATCATAGCAGCAGGCTGAAAGCTGTCCACATCTTTTGTTTCTCTCACTAGGACTTTTTCCACTATATATTTACATTTTTTTCATTCTCCTTGTAGACAATTTTGTGTTATTCAGAAATTCTCTTTGCTCATTCTCTTTCATGTTTACATTGATTCTGTCTGGTTTGCTGCTCAAAATCCTTCAAACTGTCGGTACAGAATTTTTAGATGTCTGGACAGTAGGGCCTAATTTCAGTCTCTGGCTGTGATTGCCAAAGCTTAAGGAGCCACCATTTCACTCTGAGCCTTTATGAGAGAGACAGCCTATGTAATATGAGCCTGAATTTTAAGTTTTAAGAGTTTGTGGTAGTAGCCTTCAGCCCATTTCTCAGTGAGGGCATGACGAATTTCCTTGCTTTTCCCTAATTCCTCAAAATAGTTCACATAGTTTTTTTTTTTTTTTTTTTTTAGTTCAAGTGTGCTAATACAAACATGCATTATTATGCCAAGGACAGAATTATACTCTGTGTTTTACCATGAATTTGCATTATTATTTGGCATTGTAGACTATAAATCTCGTTTTCAAGGAAACTTCCTAGAGTATATATTGCTTTTTAAAAAGAGAACCACGTTTTAGAAACCAGTTGTGATGCACAGTTTACAATATTAAGATTGAGGACTGATTTTCTGTCCTTCCCCCCCGCCATCCTTTTTGATACAGTGCTTCTCATCATAGCTTCTCTTGTTTTCCTGATATGGTTTTAAACAGAAGGGGTAAGAGATATTTCAGTGATCAGATATAGTTAATTATTCTTAATGCATAATTCATTTCTGAAAAGGCATCTGATAAAACGCGGTTAATCTGGGCTTCGCAGAAGTTTGCGTGGAACTATTTGCATGGAATTATTTTAAACAATAGTCTGTTTCTAAGCAGTTACCCTGAGAACCGAGAAGAAACTCTTCCTCGTTTGAGCCAGGTTCAGATTCTTTTCTGCAAGTGTCCTGGCTTGTTTGCCTTTTCTCAAGACTTTGTGTTCTTTCTGGTATGGCTCTGCCAGGCAAAGGACAAGCAGGGAGAGCTGCCTGGTTTGGACCTCAAGCCAGGCAGGCTGAGAACGTGTTTTTTTCTCGTGGGTGCGACCCAGTGTCCGAGGAGCCTTGCCTGCGTTCAACGGCTGTGATGCATCACTATTGACCATACGCCCTGTTTGGAATAAAAAAGAGATGATAAGGTTGATAGGAATGATCTGTGGGGATCATTAGATGTAGTGTGACCATATCTGTAGGATACATCCCTAACAGTCAGAGCACTGGAGAATGTTTTTCATAAAACAAAATATCAGTGGCTACCTCATAGACTTTACGTAGTGTTTGGATATTAAAGTTCGCTTGTTTTTTATTGTGTGAATTTATAATGCTTATTTATATTGCATTAATTGATGTTTTTAAGGCACTAAATTTGGCATATTAAAGAGTCTGTGAGATTGCAAAGGATTATTATTTAATTATTAAAACAAAATATGTGGCATTAAATTCAGCAGTGGTGCTTAGACTCTTATTCTTATTATCAATTGCTTGAAAAGTGACAATGGTACATTTCTGTTTCTCTTTTTCTAAATGTACAGAAATTTCCATTTATGTTTATCCCTAGCAAAAGAAAGGTCTTTTCTACAAATTTATTAGCGTTCTTTTTCTTATTTTCATAAATTACTTACTGCTTAGAAGAATAAGAGTTCTCTAAGTTGTCTTGAATGTCACAGGTTTTTTTCTTTACATTTGCACTGTTTGGGTCTGTAATCTTTAGAGTGTTCTCATTTGTGAGACAAGCTTAGGCTTATTATTAGTAAGGAAACCTTATTATGTCAGCTGAGGAAGAAAAATGCATTTTTACTGAACAGAATGGAGTTGAACCTTTTTTTTTTTAAACCAGTGAACACTTCCGTAACTAATTATGGTGTACCAGAATATCCATTTCTTAATTTCAGTATTCAGAGATGTGCACAGTCTGTTCAGACAAACGTTATAGGGCAGAAAAGATAGAGCAAAAAAAGAGGGCGCTCCCTGCCCTCTACTCGAAGAAGGCAGGCAGGTACGTAGTTCTTTTGCTCCCCTTTCCCCTTGGCACAAACGTTTTCTGTTTCTCCTAACACCCATTTTTCAAAGGTGACTGGGGAGCTTGGATGTTTGTATCCTATGCCCATGGTCATCTTCACACATTGGACACTTTGACAATCATTCATAAAGTAGTATTCAAATATTTGTCAGTATAATAATTTCAATTCACTTGAACAAGCCCTGTGGCCCTTTGCTCCAGCATGGCTCCTTTGCAAGACTGGAATGTGTTATGAGACCTCCTGAAAACCATTTAAAACAAGCTTTCAGTGGGTTTCCCTAGTAATGATCTCTCTTGTATTTTTTCATGATGTCTCTTAAAGCTAGTTTTTAACCAGTACATCTAATAGACCTGTATGGGAGCAGGACTGAGTAACTGTATTTGTGGTAGTTGTGTATAAAGACTTGCAATATGTTAACAAGTCATTATAAAGAATTAAACCCTTTCATCCAAAGCCTGTTGAGATGCTCTTGACAGATTTCAGCAGCGTTTGGATCCTGTCCTAACCCTCTATTTAATTAAGAATTCACTTTCCTGTCAGGAACATTGCTTATCATTGCAGTTTTCAGTACTCACAAATGGATGTGACTTTTTATATGAAAATGAACATTAGGGTTTTAGCACTGGCTGTTAAGGAGACCTGGAGAGCATGGAGCACCCAGTTTAGTCACTGCATAGCCAGGATATATTGCACAAACCTGCCTATATATATACCAAATCACTGCATGTTATTAGTTGCGTGCTTAGAAAATTTCATGGCATTTATTAGCTGTCAGGTTTTTACCAACTTTATTTTAAGGGTAAAATACAAGGCAGAAGTTGGTAGGAAAAAAAGAAGATAGATTTTGTCATATATCTTTATCACTTGTTAAGCTCAGCGTAAAGCAAATTTTAAGTATAAAGAGAATTACATTATTTACGTGAAATGAATCTTTAATGTTTTATTGATATCACTATGCATTTGAACTTTGATATGATATATATTTGCTATGCAAGTCATTGAACTTAATCACTACATGTGAAAATAAAAGTATTTGCAATTTGAAAAGTGAAAAAGGTTGATGAAATATAAGCTGTGAAATATGGTGAGAATCTGCTAAAAATCTGGAAGTGTATTTGCTTTGAATTTTCAAAAGATGTGTTCAGCTGAAGTTGAGAAGACTGTGAGAAAAAGGCTATTAATGTGGGAGAGATCTTGCCTGCAAGAACATTTCTTTTCTGAGGATGCCTCAGGATTCAAAATGTAATTGAAGAAAATGAGCCTTTGAAAAGATGTTATCATTTGTCACCTAGAAAACGTTTTATTTGTGCATTTGTTTAACTTGAACTGACACACCTCTAACATTGTGAACACGGGGTTATTAGGAAACCATTACCTTTTCCCAATGACTTTCTAGGAATGGTTTCTCAGTGTACAGTAGGTCAATAAAAAACAATTAATCGAGCTTTCTTAGTCTTCCTACAGATGCTAATACTTAGAAACCATTCATAGATAGGAAAAAATCCACATGCATGGCAGGGAGGCAGAACAAGATGAGTGGTAGGTGATCCCAGGTTTGTTCCTGGAGGCTGCATTGTTCACCAACGCGTTGATAAGTAACCCTGAATGTCTGTTATTTTGCATCTGTTGAATGCCATATTGAACAGGTACCACTGTGCTGATCATTTGAGCTTGACTTACCTCTCCTACATCTCAGCTAGGCAAAATATGCATGACCAGAGATGCAGAGGAGGAGTGTAACCTCCGTGCACCCTGCAGCATGATGCAGCTGAAGACCAGGGTACCAGGAGCGGTCTAGCTGTGACACCACACAGGTTCATCATGGAATAATTTAGCAAGTTCTTGGGATAAAGCCAGGTTAATTGGCCTGAATTACCCTTTAATGCTGCAGCTGGTCCCAAAAACATGCCGCTTTTGGTATCTGATCTAATTTTTTTGACGCTAGTTTGATTTTCTTTGTGTGAGGCCCTCTTTCCACTCTTGTACTAGAAATTAATATCTTTGTTATCTCCCAGCAAAAAAAGATTATTAGATTGATTGTACAACCTTTTGACTGCAAAGACACAAATTTATCCTATATTTATTTCGCACATAGACATTTGATATTTACGATCAGATAGCTCTGTTCTCCTCCTACCCTTTTCCCAGAACAAAACCAAATAAATAGTCTTATTTTAGACTGTGTTCCTGCAAACTTTTTAGGCAACAAGTCAGTTAGTGTTTTTAGAAGAGTAGCTGCGACCCTTTTGAACTAGCTACTGCTTTGAAGTCACTTGTTGTAAAAAATAAATAAATAAATAAATAAATAAATAAATAAAAGGGAAGAAAGAAAAAGGAAGAAAAAAAATCAACAAAAAAACCCTTGTGACCTCCCCCTCCTAGTGTTTAGCTGTCCTTCTGTTCAGCACAGCTGTAGGGATGTGTGGAGTGAATGGTCTGAAGCCTTTTGTGCAGGACCTCTATGCTAGGATGATTTGCATGTCTCCGTGAATATACTGAATGCCCTGAACGATGGAAGGTAATGTAGTGAAACCACAGCCTCAACAGATCTTTGGTCTAGCCAAAACTAAGTCTTATTTAGGAGTTACTTCTAATTAAAGGCTTGCAAAAGTGAGTCAGTGGTTGCTCCAATAGGAGGTTTACAGGTTCTACTTACATTTAGTCACTTCATTTTCCAAGATCTACTTTCAAGTTGTTAAAATAATACAAAAATGCACAATCTTTCATTTTTTGCCTTTCTGAAAGTGTGAAATTGTGCTGCTAACTTCGAAGGTAACACTTCCCAGGAAGATGTCAAGTTTAATTCTGTTGTAGTCCACTCTTGGTTAGTTTCACTCTAAATAATTCTGGGATCAAACCTGACTTGTTACTTAGATTGAGAAGAACACTTAACAAACAGTATGCACTTCTAACTCAGAGTATAGTTCACTCAAATTTGACTGATATATTTTCTGTTTTCAGATTTCACCTGAACTGAAAATTTTTGTCCTTGTGTACTGGCCAACTAACTGTCCCTAAAAGCAATCACTTAAGCTGTAATATTTGTCCCATAATTTTTCCTTTCATGTCTGAACAACTGATAAGCTGATAGCATGCTCTCTATGTTTGGGATAAAGTTACTGAAACCATAGTATTATTTAAGCAGATAATAGACAAAATGAGGTAGGTTTTGAATACATTTTATTGTTAGCAGGCACTGAAATGTGTGAAAAAAGTTAATTTTTTTTCAGAGTGCTATTTGTGTGCACAGTGAAGGATAAATTAAAATGATAACAGTGTAAATTAAAATGATTAAAAAAAATTTCACAAGCCTTTCCTGCAGCATTCACAGAGTCAGTCAAAGAGAGTATTGCAGGAAAAATACATAACTTCTGAGAGAAAAAAAAGGAAGCAGAGTTTAAGTAGGTTGTTAATATGTTACGATTTCCTAACTTTTAGTGCACCAATATTTAGCTTATTTAATGCACTTCTACCTCCATTCTATCATCTCAACTTTGTCAAAATAAAATCTATCTATCTCCTAAAGAAAGTGTTTGTCTAAAGAATAGGCTATAATCTTTAGACTCATTTAATAACCATTCTCAAAAAGCAAAATCTGCTTTAATCTAAGAGCCCTCTCATTTGACTTTTATATTCAATGAAATGAGCCATTTTACTATTTAATGGTTCATAAAAAATTCATGTAATATATATGGCTGTTCAATATGCAGATAAAAAATGGCTGTTCAATGTGCAGATAAAAATAGTAATTCAGCATTAATGTGGAAGTATTGGATGGGATTTTACAATAAAAACATAATTTTTACCAGTATAGTTCTACTTACTGGTACTGTTCTAATTTAGTTATTATTTTCTTGTATTAACTCAGTCATTATTAATCAATACACTCAAGTCAGGTCCATAAATTAACCTTTCATTTTTTTTTTTTTTCATTTTAAGCTCTTCCACTCTGATTCTTTCCGAAGTTTCTATTGCTGTGGGAGAATGACACAATAACTTCAGTTAAATGCTGGGAAAGAGATGATCTGAATCACGGGGGTTTTTTTGCTAGAGATGCAAGAGTTTGCAAGTGCCCTGTGGCTCACTATTTTTGTTGCCCATGTGGACCCAGTTTCAAATCCCATTGACATAATGGAATTATTTCAACTAACTGGAATTATATACTGTAGTTATCTGTAAATCCAACTTTGAACTGTAGGTTTTTCAAGGCAGAAACCTCCTTGTAGAGTACATGTAGTAAGTTGTGACCTTTTGATACCTGCTCAGCCAAGCTCATAGGGCCTACCTGCTGCAGGGATAGAGGACTTTCTAGGAACGCTTTTTTTTTTGTTATTGCCCCAGCAATTTGCTAAGAGGAGCCTCTCATCAATCAGTGGACTCTGCTGTCATTGAATAACCAAGTAGGTAATAACAGTTACTATCCTACTTTCCATATCTCTGTCTTGTTTTCTGCTCCATTTTCGCTTAAATATACCATGTGGATCAGAAGAATTGCAACTCTACAAACCTCCAAACCGGCTGCCTGAGTATAGGAGAATTACTGGGCCAGGGAAGCCACAGACCATGTAACCTTAGCGCAGGTTCGACTCTCTTTATGGCTTCACCTGGGACTTGGTCGTATTTCAAAGGTTTTAGTAATTGTCACTGTTGATTTTGATTAAATGGAGCTACAATGGCTGTATTAATTACAAGGTGAATACTTATCTGTGTTTCTGGATAAGCCGTGAGAAAGGATGGGTTTAATTAGCGCTAAGATGGGAGATGTTCTCCGAGTGTTTATGGTGGAGATAGATAGAATCATCTTTTACAACTCCGCGTCCTACTGACTGCATTACTGGGTTAGCTAGTCTGAAACTGTTGTTGTATCGGGTTTGGAAAGGTATATTTTCTTCCCATGAAACGCATCTAAAGAGAGGAGACTTCTCTTTCATAATTCTATTGCACAAAGGTGGGGGGAATGGCAAAGTTAAGCAAAGGATGTTTTTTGATCTCAAAGCAGTTGTGAGGCAGAGTTCATTGACTTTGCTTTTATTTGGAACCTCTTAAAAAGACAAAAAAACAAAGGATGTTTATTATGTAATAAAGTATTTGATCAGAAAGCCTTAAAAAAAGGCCAGATGTGTAATTACATGCATGGTAATGCTAATTCACTGGTCTGGCCTTTCACACGAAGGCACAGACCTATAACGTTAAATTCTGATACTGTAAAGTGGCTCACACCATCATTTTTAGATGATATCATAACGAGCGCTAATCATTTTGTTGATAAATACACTGTACTTTTTTGATTTCCCTTTTAGGTCAGCAAGTTGGAAAGAGAGAAAAACCAGGAAGTTAAGCAGATCAAAGAGCACGAACAGCATAAAAGTACAGTAGTGGTAACAGAGCTCAAAGTCAAACTTCATGAAGAAAAAATGAAGGAGCTCCAGGCTGTTCGAGAAGCACTTCTGAGACAGCACGAAGCTGAACTACTTAGAGTAATAAAAATTAAAGATAATGAAATCCAGAGACTACAGTCCCTTCTGAATGCGGTGAGAGATGGGGCTCCTGACAAAGTTAAAACAGTGCTTCTCTCAGAGGCAAAAGAGGAGGCCAAGAAAGGATTTGAAGTTGAGAAAATAAAAATGCAGCAAGAAATTTCAGAGCTTAAGGGGGCTAAGAAACAAGTGGAAGAAGCTTTAACTATGGTAATCCAAGCTGACAAAATTAAAGCAGCAGAGATAAGGAGTGTGTATCACCTGCATCAAGAGGAAATCAGCAGAATTAAGAGGGAGTGTGAAAGAGAAATTCGTAGACTGGTATGTGTTGTTATCTGTATCTGTGTTTTTCCTAACACTTACCCAATTACAGGAAATAAACCTAAGTTCAGTGGTGGACTCAGGCGAGCGCATGAGGATAGGTGTCCAAACTTTAGGAGCTTGCTTGAAATTAATTTTCTTCTTGCTGGTAGTAAAGTTTAAAAAAAATTTTTTTTTAATGTGGTAGGATGTTTTATGTGGTGGTTTTTTCCCCGTCATTGCTTGTTAATATTGTTTATCTTTCAAATATCAGGAACGAACCTTGCGATACTAGCTAAGTTAGGGGAATTCTACAAAATATCTGTGCTTCTTGGCCCTCAGAGACTGTGGTAGAGATTCACTTTCCTGTTCTGCAGGAAATATTTTAATAGCCTGCTTCATACCATGAAGATGTGCATGGGAGGAACATACTGAAATTCTAATACCTACTAAGTTCGCTCTTATTCTCAAATTTTGGCAGAGATGTAACTATCTGTAGGGTCTGCAGAGTAGACAGGCATCAAATTAAAGAAAAAATGCTTGGGAAAATTTTCCTTCTTGAAAAATTTCTTCTTGTGAATACACATAGCAGATCCCAGTATGTTTCTTAAATCACAGGTTTTGTTAAATATTATCAACTTTTCTCCCTTCAAGGTATTTGTGAAAGTAGAAGTTCTCTCCAGGAAGCAGAGTTAGTAGTTAGTAATGTCAGTAGCGAAATAATATTTTCATAGCCTCTAACACTTCTAGTAGGGATAGAGGTGTTACCTCTTACATGATACTGTGCAGCAATACAGAAGATCCACAATACAATTTGCATGAATATCCAAAAAGCTTTCTATTAATTGTTTGGAATAATACATTGTTCTTTTGATGACGAATATGGGTAATTTCAAATCTTTGGGCAGAGTGATTGGCCTGAAGGGGTATTAACCCTAAATCAAATCATATGCAAACAAGCTATTTGCATGGGTTAAGTTCAGGTGGTCAGGGTATGCATCTTTCCTCCAGCATGTGCAGCCTCCTTAACATTTCTAAAACTGGCGTATGCAAAAGAGCTAAAACCGACCCAACCTCCATAAAAGCCCAAGGAGTGCTAACTTCTGCTGTGTAGCAGACATGGCTGCCAAAGTCAAATGACTACAACTTTGGCTGTTACCACTGCAGAGTGGGTGACATAATGTGGGTGACACGATAGGAAAATTTTCTGTAGATGTTCCATTTCTTTGGAAGTAAAGAATCTTCAAATTTATTTGCAAAATAAAGCACAGTTAATAATATAATTTCAATAAAAGGTTTAATTTTTGGGTAAGAGTTAGGAATGTTGTCATCAGAATATAAGAATAGCAGGAGAACTTAGTTTTCATTTTGCGTTCTGTAAGGTATAAATAACTTTTTAGGCTTTGCTACATGCGTGTGACACTCCCTGTCATGACGTGTAAACACAAAAATTTTCTCCTAAGAGATTATTATATTATCCATAACTATTTGACCTACACATTCAGACAGTGGAGCCAGATTAACTCAATGAGCCATTTTAAATGAATTTCAGATTACTCCAATGTGAAAAAGACACTGAAAAGTGATGAGCCTTTGATACTCACTAAAGGCAGTAAAAACGCCAGAAGAGTTCATTTGGCATCATCTGCCATTTAGCTCCTCAGAAGTGTATCGTTCTTCTTTCAATGCATGCATACTTGTTTGTACTTGTGTGTGTTTGTATTGTTACAATACTGATTATGTTTACTAATGACACAGTCGTTACATTATTATCTCCAAACTGTTGATGTTAGGGGAAGCTGGATCTGGCAGCACCATAGATGCAAGGCTGCTGTGGCTCTGTCTCCAGGTTCAGCCAGCAGCAAGGCTGAGCATGTACTCTCGATAGGCATGCACATACTCACGCAGCATATATATACATATACATACACACGCACTCATGGCTTGTTTCTCCCTGGTCTTATAACTAGGTACTTATGACTTCTCCTCTATTTTCTTTGGAAGGAGAGATGAAAATGATGCTGATGGTGGTGTTTTTAAAGGTCAATATACAATTAAATTAGAATTTCTTTAAAATTTCCATTGGAATTGCAGCTACCTTGTAGCAGTTGTGGGTGCTTGTACTAATAGTGCTAAACATCATCATATAAAGAATTCAGCTGAGACTGAGGGAACTTCACAACAGATAGATAATTCATTAGGAAACGCCTAGCCTATGGTGAGGCTAGGAACTGCCGTCACGTCGAAGGGCTGTGTGTCTTATAGGAGGGACCGAAGTCCAAAGAGAGCTCTGAGCGAAAAGAGAAGTCTTTTCGTGAGACTCGGAGAGGCCGTCACTTTCTGGCTGCTAGGATGAGGTTTCTTCCACTGCCCTTTGGAATCCTTGCTTTACTGCTCATCCAAAGTCGTCTGAGACTTTGCACAGCTCATTTCAGGACTGTACCCTGGAACTGTTGCTGTAGTTATCAAGAGCATGGGAACAAATGTAGCAGCCATACTCCTGTGATGCATATGTTGGGTCTTGCTTCAGCATTTCTTTGAAGTTGCCATCACTTGGGTTTTGCCATGCTTTCTTGTATTGTTCAGTGTCTCAGCATAAATTCATCCATGCCACTTCTGAGTCATTATCACTTGACTATTGTGTACATGCTAAGAAAATGTGAACAACCCGTTTGCAGACTGGCCAAGTCAAAGCGCGACAGTATAGCCACGCTGTCAGTGAATGCCCTCCAAAACCTACCTACCAACAACACTGGTATAGCATCAGCTGTATCTTAACGAACCAAACTGACTGACACTGACACACCGTTCAGTTGTCCCATTAGTCATTTTAGCACTAAGTATCCTTTATTTAGCCACATGTTCTCTTAAGCTTTACGTTATTGAGCTTTTTTCCTCTCATAGGTTATTTTATTTTTATGAAGAGGATATTAAAATAGCTTATAACCAACTGATCTATCGATACTGTTCAAATATGCTGCAGTGTAAGTACTTTTCTTACATTACTAGATGCATTGATTTAATACATCAAAATGAAAGGATGGCTAATGTACATCCTAAATAAACTTACTGCATTACGTGAAAAGTCCATGCTAATGGCCTTTAATGTAGGAGCTGTAAAATAAATATCTCCATGGTTGCAAGGAATAGTGTGGTTTGATGGTATGTTTTCTAAATTGCCTTTGAAAATCAAACTTTTTTTTTATTCCTGCTCGAAAGAATCAGATTATCTAACTGTACTAATTAAATTACATGATGCCATCGTTTTACTGGGTCCTGAGTGCTTCCTGAATTATTTTAAGCACTCTCAGTTCCATGGACTTGACTGTAGTTGTTTTCAATGGATGCTGTTGGCTCCTGGCACCTTGCAGGTTTGAGGGGGAAGACTGGTGCCACAATGTAAGAGAAAAGCTGAGTTCTCTGTGCAATTCTCAGAACACTTGAACTGTTACTGAAAACCAGTGTTTTTCTCCCTTTTTGAGAGATGGGTCGTAAATAAGGTATGTTGATTGTCTCTCGTCAGAGGAATGTAAAATAGCCCCAGTCTGAGCTGTTGCATCGTGGATGGATGTTGCCTCTGTCTGACCTTGGCTATGCGGACCCTCGGCTCAGATCGATGTTAGTTTGAAGATCTCTTTATTGCGTTCTGTGTGATGGTGTGGAAAGACCAGAGCTGTTGTGCAAGGACTGATTTGACCTTCAAGTGTTGCTGTTTGTCCTACAAGTTATTTTAAGTGCTAGGGATGAGTTTGTCTGACGTCAGCACAGATGTTTTCAGCTAACGTTTCTTTTCCCTGTATATAGCAGTTAAGTCTGGGACTGTTGGCTTAACAGTCAGCAGTGTATCAGCCACTATTCTTTTCCAAAAACATTAGTGTTATATATTTAAACTGATCCTGTGCATTAAACTGTTCTACCCACTACAGTTCTGTACAAATGGAGAGCCATAACCCCAGCTTGTTAGCTCAGCCTACTTCCATTGAGGAGGCAGATTGATTTCTATCCGTTTGGTGTCTGGCCTAGCACATATACATGTTCTGTGGTGCATTGCCTCTGGTCCACATCTGGGGATTACATGTTAATGTAAAGGCCATGGCAGGCAGCCAGTTCTGAATTGTTAGTGGAGTCGCAGCAAGATTTTAAAAGCTCTGTGATTCATGTACAATGCGTTATTTAGTCATTTTAACAAAGGGGGGAAGAAACCTTCCAACAAATTATTATTTCACCTTTTGAAAGAAACTGCTTTTTTTCAGTCAGGTTGGAGAAAGATAAGTTGTACTCCAACACCATTCATGTTCAGTTTTGCAATGATATAAGCCCTTTAAGATAAAATAATCTTTGAAAGTTATTTATTTCTGATAGGTAGAGTTTTTAATTTTTAATTCAATGTTTTCATTTTTGTATTTACTTGCAAAATACACCTGACTATCTATACAGGCTTAGCTGCAGAAAGGAAAATACTTCCATATATAGTCAGATAGAATTTGTTTTAAAAATGTAATTTTGTGTTGTTCCATTATCTTCCTTCCAAATTAAAACTGTTTTTTTTTCTTTACTGAATAGACAGAAATACGGTTGTCGATGTCTCACTTTAGACCTGCAAAAAAGTGTTAGATTACCTTTAAAGTAACAGGTATGATAGGAAGATGTAGCATTATGCAAAAAGGAGATCTGTAGCCATACAAATTTGCTTCAAGTCAATAGCAGTTTATTTTGGTCATGATAAATAAAAAAAGCTGCAGCATCTGCTTAACTTCAGGCCAAATGGTCTTCCCAGGTTTTGTCAGATTTTGCTAAGCGGGATGCAGGGTATATATGTTTAGACTTTCAACCAGCTTCACCATAATCCTTTCCATTTTGTTGACTCACTGCAACAAAGTTAGACTGTTGCATTGAACCAGAACCAGCGCTACTGGATGAACTCAGTCTTTGCCCCATTTCTAAGGAAAATCCCTGCATTTTTGCCCTCTTCCAGAAGAGAGGTGAGCGCTGCCCATGGCTTGGAGAAGGCATAGATACCC